CTGTGAGGTTAGCGACATGGCGCGCGCGACAGGGGTGCACGTGGGGCATCGTCTTGTTAGGTTAGCCTGTCATTGGTGGCGTAGGCACGCGCGTTGTGGGTATTTTGTGTACGGTCGAGCTCTCTTATTGGTTTGACTTGATTTCAAGGATTTCAGGCCAAATATGATCACATCAATACGTCCTCGATATACACGAGGATAACGTCCTTGAAATAACCTAAAGGGTTTATAGTATATGGATAAGGATGGGTACCTTATCCTGAGAACATTATGGATACGACCCACTTTTTAAATGTTACAAAGGACCCGATCCAGGACGTTCGTCTGGAGACATGCAAGTGAGGCTATCCAATAGAATGATTTTGCATAAGACCGAACCGTGAAATAGGCAATCTTGAGATGTAACACCGTTGACTAATAGATTACTATTTCATAGGATGATCAGACAACTCATTTTAATTCCTAAGTGAGTTATGGACTCCTTCCCATAAGGGCTCGTCCTTTGATCTGTATGGGTGAGAGTGGCCCGAGTCGCCGACTCAACATTCCTAGCGAGAGGTGCACCTACCCACTCATCAATCACGGTGTTCAACTGACTTGCACTGATTGGGGACGAGATCGAGTGAGGAACTGGGAACATGACTACAGATGATGGAATTCACTCCTTCCCAAATTTAGGGGAGTAGATGAGTGTTCCTTTAAGTGCTGACTATGAGACTTGAACAAGGGGCCTCACCCTTTCGCTAGTCTGAAAGGGACTGCCAGTTATTGGTCGGACCATAATCAGGTTGTTCATTASAAGAGTAGTGGTATTTAAGGAGCAAGATGTAACTTAGGGGTAAAACAGTAATTTGACCCAACTTGCTAAAGTTACGAACAGTCGAGTGTGTGTGTGTGATTCTTATTTTCAAGCCACTTTACCATAATTAACTTTTGTTTAAAAAAACCACTACAACAAATATGACTTTTAATGACAGTCAAAAACAAAAACACGGAAGAAATGATGACGGACATGTAAAGACGTACTTAAAATTTAATTGACAAAAAATATACATTTCAATGTCGGGTCTGGCCCGACATTGATTCTGTACTATTAATGTCGGGTTTGGCCCGACATTAAAAGCCCAAATTAATTTTGCTTTTATCTTTATTACCCAATGTTTTGTTTTTTGTTTTTACTCTCAGGCTCTCTCTCACTCACGGGACCCGCGACCACTCCTCTCTCTCACTTGACTCACAACCTCCACGACCTAAGGCAAACGGCGGCATTTCTTGCAGCTTTCAGAGCGGCAATCGAAGGCCACTCTGGCGGTGCGAATGAAATCACGATCGGTAGCTATCCGGCGGTGCGAACAGTACTTCAGTAGTTTCTGGCGAGTAGATTCCAGATCGAAACAGCGACGAACAGCGATACGAACGAGGCTTGATTCTTCAGCAGGTTCGGATGACATGCGAGGAGATTCCAGATCTGAACGGCGGCGAGAGGAGAGAACTACCCAGATTTGAACGACCGTGAAAGTCGATTCTTCAGTAGCTTCCGACGACGGGTGAGAACAACCAAGATCTGAACGGTGGCGACCCTACGATGTAAAGTTGAGGCAAGCTCCAGCAACTAGATTTGATTCTTACACAAAGCACTGCTTCCTGATTTCGTCGACGACGAGGTATATAGCCTTCTCTTTTTCTTCTTCATTGTCATTTCTGGAGAATCGTAAATTTTTATTTGGTTGCTGAAAGTAATATTGAAATTGATACTTATGTTAAATTGGACAGTGATTCATGGAAGAAAAATTAGAGGTATCAAATAGTTTTGCTGAGTGTTGAGAAAATTTTAGAGAAAATAATTAGTATTTGATACGCATTCTAGTGAGGAGATTTACCCAGAGTCCTATGGTTCAATTTAGCTTCTAGGATAATGGAAGAGAACATGAACTTAGTTACATGGAAACAACTAGCTCTGCAATTTATTAATTTATTTTGATATTTTTTTTTTTTGTTATCTTTACGAGTTTAAGAGTATACCTGGTGAACATGTATTCTATGGTGATGGTACAGATGGAAAGATATACACCTTGCGCTCAATGCTAAAAGCTCATTTACTAGTGATTATGGATCTGTGAAAAACTTTTTATCGTGTAAACCATTTATCTTGTCTAGTTTCATTATTCTATCTCATAATTGTCAAGAAGATTAAGTCGTCCTAAAAAATCTTGAGCACTTTCCAATTTTTAGAATGTTATTTGTGTTCTATGCAAGCAATTCAGATGGTTGACTGATGATATAATTATTGAATACAATTGTTGAGGAATTTTCTGTTGCTATTAGTTTTTTACTTTCACTCTGAGGTATTTTTAATGGTGTCTTAAATTCTTTAAATGGGAACCAATATTCTATTTACAAGTTGATAATATGTCTAATATCCCTAAAAAAGCTACCTTTTGGTTTCGTTACTTTAGATAACTGAACATGTATAATATGTTTTACAGTGTTTGGAGCAGGATATTATTGTCTTTATTGCTTTGTCCTCCAACTAATTGTACTTTTGTATTTTTACTAGCAAATCTGTTGCTTCTTTGGCTTAGTGCACAAGTGGAAATTTGTTGATATCTGGATATGAGGATGGAGCAACCAGAGTTTGGGATACCAGGACCAATAATATCATTTGTGTTCTTAAACATCCAAAAGGTTTAGACTTATCGTAATGTTCATGCATAATTATCTATTATTGCACTATAAATCATGTTTTAGCGTTCATGTTATTTCTTGAATAAATATATTTTTTCACTTTGTTTCCTTTATAAACCAGATATTAGCAACATTCCTTCGATGGATATGTAAGGAATATTTTTGTTGCAAATCAATTTTATACTTAGCTGAAGCTTTGTATATACGAAATATCTTTCGTTGCTCGTGCTAGATTTTTGTCTTCTGCTTTGTTTTGTAAGTTCTAGTCGTAAGAGATTGGAGGACTATTTTAATAAAATAAAGTATGTTATGAAGCTATAGTACCCTTTCTTTATCTTGTTTTTTTTCTTCTATCCAATTTTATAAACTTCATTTGATAATATCGTTTTCTGGTACATTCATTTATATGGTTTTTTGCATATTAATTTCATCCCTAGTTACTGTATTCAGCTTTTAATTACTATGTCCATGACTTGAATTTTTATTTTATAGACTGAATACAAATGCACTGATGATCCATTCTATTCAACAGATAAATTCTACTTTTCCTTAAGAAAGCATCATTCACTATTATCTCCGCCCTTGCAAAATTTGAAAATTCAAAGGACGGGGATGAAGACACCAGTCATTGGTTTATCAGGAGAATTTATGGATTCTTCCCCCCTTACTTTTCACGTAATGGAGAACTAAATTGCAGAGCTTCAGGTACCAAGACTCCATTTTTCTTGCTAACTACTCAATAAGTTAATAATGGTTTATTCCTTGTTGTTGTGAGATATATGTCATTTTGTGATAACTTTTGTTATTCTACACATCTCTAAAACTTCCTTGGGAGGTTTTGCAGTTATTGGTATGTGTCGTAATGGTTTCTATACTTTAACCCATTAAAGATGGGTAATTTTGTGGTTTCTTCCTTTGCATTCTCTTCAACTTATATTCAACTAGTTTATGAATCTCAAAGATCTAAAAAATCTTAGTTTATGGGGAAGTTTGGAATGACTGAATCTAGCACAATAGTTTATCCATACAAAAAATTGGTAATAGTGTTGAGCTAAAAATTTCAATTTTACTAGTGGTAATACCTTCGTTCTAGGATTCCTTATGTTTATATTTTGCTTTATGAAAAATGTACTTGAACTTCAGTTTGTCTTTTTCTTTTTTGAGCAAATTAGTGTTGCTTATTCTTCTAAAATATGTTTATATTCCTTGCTATCCTTAAGATTCATGCAGCTGGAATTGTCGAGTATGGTGAAATCAACCATGAAGCTGTTGCAAAGGTTGTAGAGGTAACCTTGCGGTTCTTTTTTCGGTTTGATTTCTTAAAGTAGCTTTGTCCATAATCTTTAGTGCTTGATTATCTCCTTTATGTAGGGATTTAATGCAAGCAGGTAATAGATTTAGAGCAATGGAAGTGGGTGATAGATTTAGAGCCATGTAAGCTTCATGTCCTTAGTTCTGGTTGGTATTTTGTTCAAGTGATGTATACTTTCATTAACTAAAAAGCATGTGTTACATATATATTACTACATTTTGTTTTGCGTAGTTGTGTAATTTGCTCATATTCGTTATTGAAAACTGCTCAATTATTCATTACTCATTATTGAAAATTGTTCAATTATTCATTACGTTCTTCTATGGTTCTTTGTGAGTTAGCTAATAATAATATAAAAATAAAATACTATTTTCATATTTCTTTGTAGATTGAAAAAGAGGATATTTTTGGTTTACTGGTGTGTAACCAACAATATTTTTTTTATTCAAATATTAAAGAAACAATGACGGGCATTGCCCGTTATTAAAAGCACACATTTATGATGCACATATGATGACGGGCAATGACCGTCATTAAAGGATGTCTGCCATTAAAAGAAACAATGACACTTGTAAAGATGTCGGTCATTACCCGTCATAGTTATTCTTTCATGACGGGCATGCCCATCATGAAAACAAAACTTTTCATGACGGACAATGCGCGTCATTAAAACCGTCCGTCATTGAAAGGAAACAAGGCACTCGTATAAATGACGGTCGTCTGATCGTCATCGTTTCCTTTTAATGACGGGTAATGCCCGTCATTAAAAGCCGAATTTGTTGTAGTGAATAAAAACACTTATAGCTCCTATTCTTTTCTAATTCAAAAATTTTTTGCAACATTAAGGAATTTTCGTGCTTCCTTTTTGTTTCAGAGCTTTCACATCAACAAGACATCAAAATTGGTTATTAGCCCTTGAGGTTTCTAAAACACTTTCTCGGCTTTCCACCACAGCCACATCTAGATGCCTCTAAGAAAGTAATTTAGTCACAACATATCTATGRTGGGTTTCGCGAGGTTACATTGGACTGTGTAGTTACTACTCTTAAGGCTACTAATGCCACTAAACCTAAATTACATGAGTGTATATAGTGGGAGTTTCTTACCACTCTATTGTTCCTCTCATTTGTTTATCTTTTCCCCACTAATTTTTTCTCATAGAAAAGACGGACTCAATTTTCATGACTTTTTTTGGACTCTTCTTTGTTTTTTTTTTCGTTTTACAATGACTCATTCTTTGTCCGTTTCTATGACTGTTTTTGATTTCTCTTTCCGACTCTTTTTCGCAAAAATTAAAACGCATGATATTTTTGGATGTAAAAGCAGCATTTTCTTTAAATATGAAAAGACCCACACTGATTCTAAATTGAGAGAGACAATGTTGTCGCTGGGAAAATATTTTAGAAATGCACAAATTTGTCAGTAACTTGGACAATGACTTCTTATATAACATTAAAAAATTAAAATTTTCATTAAGAGACCGAAGAGGTAAAAAACAATCTTATTAATAAAACAAGGTATAAAATGATGCATGGCTTGACCACAAGAATAGGAAACCTTGCTAGTGCATTATTATTAGTTATTCATTGGAACATTGAGCCACAAACACAGAACATGACAAAGAAAGCGACTCATTAAAGAGATAAGCATGCTATTCATCGGAACATTTCTATTGCATAAACAGGAGACAAACAAACAACATAGATGAAAAAGTGGACGCACCCTTTACACATGGTAGATATGCATATTTGCATATTGATTTCCAACAAAATTATTCATAGCAGAACATGGATGTTATCATAACAACAAAAACAATCCTAGGGAAGCAAACGAAACCTACTCTAACTATCTCACCAATGAAATTAAAAAGTTCAAAATGAAAAGTAAAAGCAACAAATAAAAGGATACCGGGACTCCCATAGTTATCATCGAAATCATGCTCCGAACAGTTGGGTTGCCTCGAGGAAGATGGTATGTTGGTCAACAAGTTAACATAAAAAGATGGGGCACATCCCCAAACACTTCCCTAAGGAACTTACATGTAGTATGTGAAACCAATTAAAGCCGAGAGTACTTGTGCTCAAGATCTTGGTACTTTGCCTGTAAGCTTGCAGTTATGGCTTCTGACGCCTCGACACTGGAGGTTGAATTCTCATCCTGCAGTAGAGCATAGCCACGAACGAGCCTATCAAATGTAACTTGTTTTTTTTTTTTTCAAGAAATACAATCTTAGAAGGCTGCACTTGTACACCTTCCCTAAGACATAATTCGGTAATCAAAGATGGGAAGAAAAGTTGACCAACAGACTTATACACGCATTAACCAATATGGTCTTGAATGAGCTGCCAAGAACTGAATGGTATCCCCTTCACGAGGAAATACACGAGAAGGAAGCAAATACTCTTTATGGAAGAATCATGAGTGTTGGGCACGAGGTGGTTTTTAACTGCTCCTTGAACGGGGTTGTGATTTACTAGTTTCCCTCCGCAACAACTAAATCAAGAAGACCAAAGCGAGTACTAATAACTTTAGGGGAAAAGTTAATAATCTTACCGAGTGCATGCCTCCATGTCGATCTATGGCAACATAGAACACTTTCACCACTTTTGGCCACTTTATGCAGGGCTGCAAATAAGGTCTTCCAACCTTGTGTATCCAATTGAACATTGACATAATCAGGCACGTGTTCCAAAGCAGTTCAAACACTTCTCTAAAATCGTAAAGCATTTCTAAATTATCATAAACATTTTTAAATTAAAAAAAAGAACATTTCTAAATTCTCAGCAACCCAGTTTCTCAGTAGCAATAATAAAACATACGCAATATATATATATATATTGAAGTTCTATAATAGATATATAAAAACATTTAGTGAAATAACCACTCACAAATCCTATGAACGACGTGAATTTGGATTGTATGATGCTCCAATTTTTGTTTGACCTCAAATAATAACCAACCAAGTTTCAATACACACTTAATTCCAACTTAAAACTATAATACTTTAAATTAATCCACAATATTGTATCAACAACCCCATTCTATCTCCACAACTCAACCTTTTTTCTCTCTCACCTTTTCATACAAATGGGACCCACAACCCATTTTCTTCACTTTTCAAATTCCAACCTTAGGTGGTTGACTTCCATATTCCAATACTGCATCAAAACACACCCAAAACCTTAATGAGAAGCATCAATATAAACATCAAATTCTGTTATAGGTATCGGAAGTGCCAATATAGGCACATAAATCAATCTCTTCTTTAACTCCTTTGATCACATGTATCTATCCACACAGATTTTGAATTCTTCATAGTCAAATTAGTTAGAGGAAGCGCTATCTTCGAAAATCCTTCAACATATCGGCGATAATACCCCGCCAAACCGAGGAAACTACGAACCTCTGTAACTGTAGTAGGTTGTTCCCATTTCACAACTGCTTCAACTTTCAGTGGATCAACATAAATACCTTTTACAGAGACACATGGTCCAAAAACATCACATGATTAAGCCAAAATTCACATTTGCTAAATTTGGCATATAGCTTCCTATCACGTAATGTCTGAAACACAATTCAAAGGTGCTCTGCATGCTCGCTTTGACTGCCATAAAATATTAATATATCATCAATGAACACAATTACAGATCGGTCTAGGCATGGATGAAATACCTTATTCATAAGATCCATTAATGCTGCTGGTGCGTTTGTCAACCCAAAAGGCACAACCATAAACTCATAATGCCCATAACGTGTTCTAAATGCAGTTTTTGGCACATTTCCTTCTCTTACCTTAAACTTATGATATCCAGATCGCAAATCGATTTTTTATAACACTACAACACCTTTAAGCTGATAAAAAAACATCTATTCGAGGTAGTGGATATATGTTCACTATCATTACCTTATTCAGTTGTATATAATCAATACACAACCTCAGAGTATCGTCTTTCTTTTTCACAAATAACACCATTGCACCCCACAGTGACACACTAGGTCTAATATACCCTTTATCAACTAACTCCTGCAACTGTGTCTTTAATTCTTTTTATTATGTAGGAGCCATTCTATATGTTGCTCGGGATATCGGAGCAGTACCCAGTATCAAATCAATCACACACTCAACTTCCCGATCAGGTGGCAAGCTAGATAAATCATCTGGAAATACGTCTGGAAACTCTCGCGCAACTGTTATATCTTCAAGCTCTCCTTTTCAACTTGCTGATCAACAACATAAGCTAAGAATGATGTACACCCGTTATTCAACAATTTACTAGCCTTTATTGCAGATATTACACATCTTGCCAAACTTTTTCTTTCACCTCTAAAAATAATCTTAGTTTCCCCTGGCCGCTTAAATATAACTTCCTTCTAATAACAGTCAATCGATGCATGACATGTGAACAGGAAATTCATTCCCAAAATAACATCAAACTCACGAATATTTAACGGAACTAAATCGACGTTAAACTATCTATCACCTAAATCAATCATGCAATCACGATGCACACTGTCTGCTATCATGGATACACCAACCGACGTAGCTTCTAGTAACTTACTAGGTAAGGGTTCTAACTTTCTATCTGACCCAGCAGGAAATATGATATCAATAAACGAATGTGTAGCACCCGAATCAATTAAAACGTGAACATTTTACAAAAGATATTCAACGTACCTGTAACTACATCTGACAGTTCCTCAGTCTCATGCCACGTCATCGAAAATATCTTTCCTTGACTATGAGGTTTTCCTACCTGATCTTTCGACGTTACACCACTAGGACTTCCTATATTAGGTTGCCCTTCACTGACAGGTTTTGCTTCTAAATCCGGACGTCCCTGTACAGTCAGTCTCGAATAAGCTCCTTGGGGCGCACTACTTTCTTGCCAACTGAGGGACATTCTCTTTTCATATGAACTGCTTGCCCGCAGTTATAACAAACAGTGCTCGCTCCCCAAAGGCATTCACCCCTATGTGACTTATCACAATTCGTACATACAAGATAACTATTATAGCTAGAAGCAGACTCCACTTGCTGCCTGGATTGCTGACTTCCAGAAGGTATTCTATACTGGCTTAAACCATTCATGGTCTGTTGTAGAAAATTTACATTTGTTCTAAAGTTTTGTGAACCCCAAAATCGTAGTTAAAAATTCCCTCGACTCGATACCCCATGCGTAAATCCTCTATCATTACCTTGAAAATATCTATCACTCGAAGAG